GGAAAGAGACAGGGGAACAGCAGGTCAATGGAGCAGTCAGAGCGCATAAAACATTTATTGATTAAGTTTGCTGTCTTATATGAGCATGGTTTGGGGCACCCCAGAACAGTTACTGATCACAGATCACCGTAACAGATATAATAATGACAATGAAAACGTCTGAAATATTGTGAGAATTACCAAACTGTGACACAGAGACATGAAGTAAGCAAATGCTATTGGAAAAATGGCACCAACAGACTTGCTCGACACAGTGTTGCCACAAACATTTTTTGTAAAAAATGTAATATCTACAAAGTACAATAAGTCAGAGTGCAATAAAACAAGGTATGCCTGTAAAAAATGTCAGACCAGGGTGGTATCAGTGGAGGTAGTTAGAAATGGTTGGATTCTGAAACTGTTTGAAGGTAGGACTGACGTGATTTGCTGAGTTTTTATGAGCTATATGAGAAAAAGAGGAGCCAGAGGTTTTTAGCCAGAGCAGTTAGAAGAATGAGGATGCCATTTACTAAAATAGAGAAGACTATAGGAGACATAAATTCAGGGGTGAAGATTTGGAGTTCAGTTTTGGTCATCCTACTAGATATCTAAGTCTAAATGTTAGCAGTTATTATTTATTATTAATTATCCAGTAGATGTTAACTTTTGTAATCATTCATTAAATATTTATTGGCTCTGTGGTAGAGTTTGCTATGTTATATTCTAGGATTTAAATGATGGTCAAAAATGGACACTGTCCTTGCCTTTATGGAATTAGCAGTCTAATGAAGAAGATAAGAATTGATCAAATAACCATATTATTGGTAGTTTTTCCCTTAAAAAAATAAGCTTTTAAGTAGGATACCTAGGAAGAAATAAGGATGACTTAACAAAATCACAAATAACCCTTGATATCTAAATTTATTAGGTTCTTATGGTCAGATTGTGATGGATACATGTACATATCTTACAAGTTTCTCATTTAACAACATCTTATTCTTAAAATTGGTTAGCTTAATTAACTTGAGGGAATGAAGCTTCATGAATTAAGTTTTATTTAGATGAAATGAGGTAGTTATATATTGAATCTAGCATTTAAAGGTATTGTATATTTCATGAAATATTTAGGCTGTGAGGAATTTTCTCCTCTCTTTCATTAAAAATGTTATGTTTTTACTTTTTATTAGTTAGCTAAGGATTATTTTGTTTTGTAACTAAAGTCTTTAAGAACAGCATTATAGTATGATTTGTTGTTTACCATTTTCTCATAAAATTAAAGAATTAATTCTTGTGTTTTGAAAAATCAACAGGTTCGTCATAAGGCATCACAGAAAGTTTATGCTATGAAGCTTCTTAGTAAGTTTGAAATGATAAAAAGGTCAGATTCTGCTTTTTTCTGGGAGGAACGAGATATTATGGCCTTTGCCAACAGTCCCTGGGTGGTTCAGGTAAGCATACTAACTTTTATAAGTTTATTTCCCCTTTTTATAAGCGCTTATTATTTGTAAGAATTGATTTTGCATGCTGAAAAGTCCTATATCTCATTCACGTAATGACAGTGCAGTTATTTTTTAATAAGATCTGGTTCATTACACTTGTTTAATCTTCCTAAATAGTATGTTATATAGACATGACATGTAATACTTAATTGTTGTATAAAAGCAAGTATTACTTGCAACTTTCTCTTTTTTAATTCCTTTATAAAGAATTGGATTGATTACCAATATGCCATTGTTCCCCACCTACTCTTTCTCATGATTTACATAATAGAAACAATAATCAGCCTGTCTTGAAGAGGGGGAAAAATTCTACATTAAAATTTTTGAAAATTCTCATATTACCTATAATGTAACACATTATTGGGATTCCTAATTCAGCCTTTTAGTTGACTGTGAAGTAAGGAATTTACTTGGTTACCCAGTAGTACAGGTCACAGAGGAAGGACAGGATAAATACTTTATTCTTTCCCTGTATTTACCAGTTTTCAAAATAAGGGATTAGTTTACTTCTATCCTCAAAGGTGACCAATTTTGGGAGAAGTATCATTTTAAACTCATGGACTTAAAACCTATTTGATGTGTTTCAGTCCTTTATCTTACTCATACTCAAATTGTGACACCTTTAGCAGTGATCATGTTCAGGTTGGCTCTGAGTCCTTTTGACAGAGCCTTGGTTAGTCTTCGATAGCTAGCTTGCTGTCTTGATGCATAACAGAGTGTTCCAGACCTGTCTTGTACATTTTCTGTCCTTCACATGGAGTTAACCTTGCTTGTAGGTCCATCTTTTGTACATGTGTGAATATTTCTTTAGAATAGATTCCTAGCATTGGAATTGTTAGGACATATGGTGTGCACATTGGACATTTTGTTTGATATTGCCAAATTGCCTTGTAAAGAAAGGTTTTTTACAAGTTTATATTACACTCTAATTATCCAATAGATGTTTTATTTCACTAAATTTTTAGCAAATGCTGCATATTGTAATTATTTTAAATTTTTATTTGTTGCATCCTTGAGAAGTAAGATGTTATTGTGTTAAGTTGCATTTTTTTATTATGAGGTTCAGCATATTTCATATGCTTATTAGTAATTTGTATTCCTTCTCCACTGCTTATCCCATTTTCTGATGTGTTGTTTTGGTTTTTTAAAATTGGTTTGTTAGAATGTTAATACATTATGGATATTAATCCTTTGTTATATATGTTGGAAATATATTCTCTTGGACTACTACTTGTCTGTTGTTTACTGAGTTTTTAAATTTAGATGTAGTCAAATCTGTAATTGCATATTTTAATTTTTGCTGGCAGCACCATCCCCATCCCTAAGATGGGGAGTTTATAATCCCCAAGATTATAAAAATATTCTCCTACGCTTTCTTTAACTTTTTATATTTTTACTTTTTTGGGGGGGGGTGTTCTATTTCTAAGTCACTAGGAATTTATTATTTTTATTATGAAGTAGGATTTCTTTTTCCCAAATGAGTAGCCAATTTCCCCAGTGCCATTTGTGGAAAAGCCCATGTTTTCCCCATGTAGTAAATGAAAGGTCCTGTATATCATTCATGTGTATTCATGTATACACATGAATTTCTCTTTTGGACTGTTTGCCATTACTTTGATTTGTTATTGGTTTATACACTAAAATCATTGTTTTAATTTCTGTAGTTTTTCATTTATTTTGGTATCTGGTAGGGCATGTCTCCTCTCATTATTCTCCTTTTATAATAGTTTTTTGACAGTTCTTAAAATTTTTCTCTACAAAGTTAGAATCAGCCTTTCATTCTGTTAAAAAATACAGTTAAAATTTTGACTTGCATTGCTTTAATTGGTAGGCTTTTTTTGGGGGGGGGGTTGTTTTTGTTATTTTGAACTATTAGGTCTTCCCATAACAATAATAGTATATCTCTTCGTATAGAGATTGATCTTCAGTAAAGCCGTATTACTTTTTCCCCCAAAATAGGATCAGAAGAAACTTATGTATAAGAAAATAATTTGTAAAATATGTAGATATTCAACATACAGAAAAAAAATAAAATTGGCTCAGTCTTTCAGTGTAGCATTGAATAGTAGAAAATTTTCATCCTTATCTTTTTTTAAACTTCAGTGGGTAGAGCTCTGTTAGTTAACTATTAAATTTGATGTTTGCTGAAGCTTTCTGGTTAAGACAGTAAAGGATTTGGCCTGCCCATCTGTTCTTAGCTTATCAAATATTTTTTTATCAGGAGTAATGTTAAAGTATTTGAAATGTTTCCTTCAGCATCTTTTGAGATGGTTTTCTTGCTTAATCTGTTATTATAGTACACACAAAAAATAAATTTCAGGTTAGTGTAAAACCTAAAGTAAGTGCTATTTGCTGTAATGTGATATTTTCAATAGAATACCAAATTTGACTTACTTACTTTTTAAGTAATTATCCATCTATTTGCATAAGTGACATATGACCTTTAATTTAATTTAATTTATTTTTAACATAGGCTCTTCTGGTTGGTTTTCATATCATAGTGAGATCACCCTAACAGACACAGTTGAAAAGCGCACCACTTTTTTCTGAGCTTTGGTACAGTTTATATAAAGTAGAAACTATTCATTCCATGAGGCTTGTTTGAACTTGCTTGCAAATCTTTCAAGGAAAAATGTCAATGTATTTAATGATATATTTTTTAATTTTTAAAATTTATCATGATACGTTTCAAACATATCCCAAAGAAGAAAGAAAGTATATTGAATCCCCATGTATTGTTCACTCAGCTTCAGCAGCAGTCATGGCCAGTCTTATTTCAGTCACATCAGAAATTGGCAAACTTTTTTTTGTAAAGAGCTAGATAGTAAATATTTTAGGCTTTGTGGCCCAAGAGGCAAAATCAGAGATATTATATAGGTACTTACATAACAAGCAAACAAATTTGTACAAATTTTTTATTGATGAAATTCAAAATATAATAATACAATTGAAAAAATACAGGTCTGTTAGGGAGAAGAATGAAATTATTTTCTGAGGCAATAACAGTTTGCAAAATTGGGGTTCACAATTAGTGTTTCCTATCAAAATCGACTGTAGATGTTCTGTTAATACTGATGTATAAAAAGATTTTATATATTTATCTTATCAGAAAATATATTTTCACACAGCTAGTTACTGCTAAATACTATTATCCACCAGCATATGATTTATTTTTTATCAGTAGACTTTATTTTTAAAGACAGTTTTAAAAATTTACAGAAAAATTGAGCAGATAGTAGAGAACTCCCAGATACCCCCTGTACCGTTTCCCCTATTATTGACATCTTGCTTTAGTAAGGTACATTGTTACAATGAATGAACCCATATTGATATATTATTAGTAACTAAAGTCCATAATTTATTCAGATTTTTCCTAGTTTTTGCCTAATGTGCTTTTTCTGTTCCAGGATCAACCAGGATAGCATGTTACATTTAGTTATCATATCTTCTTAGGCTCCTCTTGGCTGTGACAGTTTCTGACTTTCCTTGTTTTTGATGACCTTTATGGCTTTGAGAATACTTCTCAGTTTTATTGTAGGCTGCGTGTGCTCTGTTACTGGAATTCGATGTTTTCCTCATTATTTAGACCAGGGTTATGGGTTTTTGAGAGAAAAACTACAGAAGTAAAGTGCCATTTTCATCACATCATATCAAGGGTACATACTAATCTACCATTTGTGACTCTTGGTGTTGACCTTGAGTACGTGGTTTTGATTGAGCATATCTGTCACTTGGAAGGCGTTTATAGAATTCTGTTAAATTCTTCTCTTGATGTTTACCTTTTAGCACTGTCATTCCATGGCAGGTTAATCAATTCCAATTGAAGGTTGGGTAGAAGCTTCTCAGTTGCAAAGTTCAAATGGATTTTTTAATGGATGTTTCCTTTGCACTTACATTCATGTCCAAAAACTGCTGCTGGAACTGTGAGACTGTAGTCTGAGATCAGAAAGTATATCCACTGCAAATTTGTGTAGAAGTAGAGATCTCATGTATTGTTTTGATTTTGATAGCATGGGAAAGTATATACAGTAGCTTGATGTTAGTTGTCATAAAAATGATTGTGTCATAGAATAAGTTTTGCATATAGCGCTGTTTTGCCTTGCCACTTTAGGTCGTTTAGGTATTAAGAAACATTATCAAGTTGCAGCTAAAGCTAATTTCCAGCGCTGTTCAGTTCAGTCATAGTGGTTGAGGGTGGTTCTTGATCAGACAAATTTCAGTCTCATTTCTGAGCTCAAATAATTGCAGTAGAACTTTACCACTGCTAAGCCATTGAACTGCTGTGTAGCAGGGTTAGTCAGGATATTCAGCTTCTATTTCTGGCAAAAATTCACAGAACTGATGGTTATGGTTAAGTCAACAAGAGCAAATAACACCATCAATACTACTTATTTATTAACACATGAGATTCAAATATATTTTCCACACTGTACCTATTGATCAATGTTACGAAAAATAACCATAGACTTTGAACAGCATACATTTTCACAAGCTTTGTAAATGTGTCCAACTAAGCCTTTTTCTGTTCCACATATATTTTTACCAGCATCTGTTGTAACACACCGTGCCAGGTATTACTTCAGGTTGTACTGAATTAATGTTTGCTCAATTTCTTTTAAAGTATTTTTGTCTGTAGTTGATCTATGTGGACTGTTCATAGAGGCTAATCCTGTATTCAGCTTCAAACTTGGCACCCCTCCAATAAACAGTAACTACTGAATAGTATTAATAATATCTGTTGACTCATCAAGAGTCAAGGAAAAACACTTGAAATCATTTGTCTTGTTTTAAAATTGGTGATTAATATTGCTCCCAGTATTCTCAACTCTTTGAGCAGCTGTTGTTGCTGAAAGATTTAGTCTTAAAGTTGATTTTCTCTAGACACATTTCTTCAGCTAATGCAAAACCAAACACAATTTAAGTATTCACCATTGGTAAATAGCTTTTCT